GTTCTTGGCTCAGTACAAGCTCAGCCTCCCAGGTTCATGCCATTCTCGTGCCTCAGCCTCCCGAGTAGCTGGGATTGCAGGCACCCACCACCACGCCCGGCTAATTTTTTCTATTTTTTTAGTAGCGATGGGGTTTCACCATGTTAGCCAGGATGGTCTCGATCTCCTAACCTCATGATCCACCTGTCTTGGCCTACCAAAGTGTTGGGATTACAGGCGTGAGCCACTGCCCCTCAGCCAAAACCTCAACAGAGCTCCTTTATTTTTACATCTTTTTTTCTAACTTTTAGGATCTTTCAGTTTCCTTTTGTATTTTTTACATCCACAGTTTCTGTCTTTTTTTGAAATGTTAAATATTTTCGTTCTCGTCCTCATTTTTCTGATTTTCCATACTTGCCTCTGTTCTTGTTTTAATCAGTATTCAATTTATTAACAATTCTTAAAATTAATGTATAAATCTTAGTTTTTTATATTTCAGAAAATTTTATGATATTTTTGATGGGACGATACTGCCCTATTTTGTATATTATAGGCTTTCAGTTTTTTACATTAAAAAAACTACCTGTCAAAATTTTTATAATGTAGCTCCTGGCATAGTCTGAAAACAATTATCTTGGCTCGTGATTATGGGAGTTTTTCAGACATATTCTTAGGACCTGTGTTGCCTGAAATTTTGTGTTTATTTTTTAGTTAGAGTTTATTCATGTTACTTTGTAGGAGTCAGTAATCACTTGCTACACTTGTTCCTTTTCTGTGGTACTGCAGTCTCGCTGCTGCTGGAACATTTTTCTTTGATCTCAGCAGACTCAAACTCTCATTCCAAAGTATACCACCATTTCTGTCAGCACTTTATGTCATGAGAGACAGAAAACAGTGTCAGGAAAAGCCCCTAAAAGCCAGAAATGACAATGAATGTGCCAGTATCTTACCTTTCTTTTAAAACAGAAATCAAGAGTTTGCAATTTACTTCGAAAGGCACTATGTTATAGTGGGAAGCAGGAAAAGCTGTGTTGGGTAAATTTAGACTTTTCTTTTTCTTCTATGTGGTTTTTTGCATTGTGCTCATCTGGAACACTGCACACACTTAACTGATTTATAAATTTCCCACAGATGTATTTTGGTTTGTATGTTTTTCTTACATTTAAATGTCTGTGAAAGAATTAGGGTCTGTGGTATTTTTGCAAAACCATCTTGTTTATGTAGGTTGTATAATTTTATAGGTAAGATTTTTAAACTATATTTATGTCAGTATAGTAAGTGGAGTAAATTATTTTAATTTTTTTTTTTCCAGGTATATGTCCTCATATTGCTCAAGACATTTGGCCAGAGCAGGGCATGGAAGATTCTTTTCAAAAAGTAATACTAAGAAGATTTGAAAAATGTGGACATGAGAACTTACAGTTAAGAAAAGGTTGTAAAAGTGTGGATGAGTGTAAGGTACACAAAGAAGGCTATAATGGACTTAACCAGTGTTTCACAACTACCCAGGGCAAAGTATCTCAATGTGGTAAATATATGAAAGTCTTTTATAAATTTATAAATTTAAACAGATATAAGATAAGACATACTAGAAAGAAACCTTTCAAATGTAAAAATTGTGTCAAATCATTTTGCATGCTTTCACACAAAACCCACCATAAAAGCATTTATACTACAGAGAAGCCATACAAATGTAAAGAATGTAGAAAAACCTTTAATTGGTCCTCAACCCTTACTAATCATAAGAAGCCTCATACTGAAGAAAAGCCCTACAAATGTGAAGAATATGGCAGAGCTTTTAATCGATCCTCAAATTATGCTACACATAAGATAACTCATACTGCAGAGAAACCTTACAAGTGTGAAGAATGTGGCAAAGCATTTAGCCAATCCTCCACACTAACCATACATAAGAGGATACACACTGGAGAGAAACCCTGCAAATGTGAAGAATGTGGTAAAGCATTTAGCCAACCCTCAGCCCTAACCATACATAAGAGGATGCACATTGGAGAGAAACCCTACAAATGTGAAGAATGTGGCAAAGCATTTGTATGGTCCTCAACCCTAACTAGACATAAGAGGCTGCACACGGGAGAGAAACCCTACAAATGTGAAGAATGTGCCAAAGCTTTTAGACAGTTCGGACACCTTACTACACATAGGATAATTCATAC